GTATGGACAATTAATAATGGGAATAACTGATAAAATTCTTGAGACTTTTTCTTTTGAGACAGAGCCTCAAGCTGTCCCCCTGGGTAGAGTGCTGTGGCATCACAGCTCATAGCAACCTCCAGCCCAGCTATTTTTTTTTTTTTTTTTTGGTTGCAGCCGTCATTGTTGTTTGACAGGCCCGGGCTGGATTAGAACCTACCACCTTTGGTGTATGTGGCTGGCGCCTTAGCCACTTGAGCCACAGGAGCCAAGCCTTGAGACTCTTAAAAAAGAATACATAAATGCTTTCAAATCATACACTTATATCAATCTCATATTTGAAGACATTTTTAAAAATCCATAATTATTTTAAGACAAAATTATATTTCTTTCCACTCAATTTAATAGTATTTACTGGCAAGAAGTCATTCATCAGTTATACCATTATCCCAAGATACTGCCATTCTGTAAAATGTATCCAGACAAAATCAGTTTTATAAGTCATACCAAAAAAAAAATCAGGACTTTATATACATGAAATTTGTCTTTGAATAAAAAAATGGCATTATTCCATTTAATCAACTATTTTGCTTTATTTATAAGGCTGCTCAGAATTACTATTACAGTATCAAATCTAACCCCATTCTTCCTTTTAAAATAAATATGAAGCTAGTAGGACTCTAATAATCCAAACTCACAAAGAACTGAGCATGAAAGGTGGTATTTAAAGTCTACATGGCACTATAACCAGGTTATAATGTAATTTCACGAAATGTTAATAAACTCATGGCAGAATGCACATCTTCCTACCCAGAGAGTCATTCAGATTCAAATAGTCTTAAAGGAGCTCCTGATAGGCACCAGATAATTTGCTAGGTACTTTCATTTAGATTACTGAATTTATATCCAATTCTAGGAGAGCATGATCTTTCAAGATGACTAAGGCAACTGAGTGAGAAAAGTCACTAAAAATAATCCTCAAACTACTATAGATTATCCTATCCATAAGGCTAAACAAACAGGTCTATTTCCATCAAACTGAAACTCATTCTCTACTTCAGAACATAGATAAGGCATAAACCACTTAGAAGCCATCTAAAAAGTGAGCTGGAAACGAGAAAATTTAGCTTAAACATCTGAAGCCTTAACTGGGAATGGCATAGGAGCCCCTTAAACAGCATCCTGCTTCCTTCCCACAGCAACCAACAAGACTAATTTGGAATATATGGAGGAGTAGAAATGTTAAAACTTAGGCTTAGCTATTTATAAGATGTATGTACGACTATCAGTTTAACATATTACAGGTAAAAATAAGTACTTAATAGTCCTATTGACCTTTTACCAAAAAACTATTTAGCAATTCATGTTAAATATAAACTGTCACATTACTTGAGCATAAGGGCAACATAACAGGAAATAGAATGTATAATAATAAAAGCAAATTGAAGGGGGGAACTCCAAAAAAAGTGCTCCTTTTATAATTTTATAATTTCTGATATTGCTGATTTCAACTCCTAGAACATAGGAATTTGTTACCCCTACATACCTATAAAAATCTTCATTAGGCAAACCGCTGTGGCTCATGCCTGTAACTCTAGTACTTTAGGAGGCCAAAGCAGAAGGATCATTTGAGGCCAAGAATTCAAAACCCCATTACTTTTAAATAGAAAAATTAGCTCGGCATGGTGGCACATACCTGTAGTCTGAGCTACAAGGTAGTCTAAGCCAGCAGGATCACTTGAGCCCAGGAATTAAAGACTGCAGTGAGCTATGACGACTGCATTCTAGCCCAAGGAACAGAGTGAGACTCTGCCTCAAAACAACAACAAATGGCTCGGCGCCTATAGCTCAACCGGCTAAGGCGCCAGCCACGTACACCTAAGGTGGCAGGTTCGAATCCCCAGCCCGACCCGCCAAACAACAATGACGGCTGCAACCAAAAAATAGCTGG